TCTCCATTTATTATTCACACCTGTCACTAGGAGTGCACCTATATTATCTGTGACAAAATAGCACTTCGACTGCACTTGACATCAGGAAGCATGTGCTAGCCTCTTCCCACTCTAATTACGTACCTGACATTAATCAGACTGAAAAAATGATATGAAGTCTTAGTCAATTGTAGACTAAGAAGATGAGGCCAAGTTTTTCTTTGTGATTAAGATATTATTCATAAACTTTCAATGAGAGTGAGCTGCCCTTGGCAGCCATTCCTGTTAAGTCACCCTAAGCTCAGATTTCTCTGCTTATCAAATAGACGGGATGAACTCAGTGCAGATAAAGTATATTTATGATGACAAATGGGATGCAGTTTCCCATGTCTTTCATGAGTCAGGGATTTAAAAAAACCCTCTAAAATATCAACCAAACTGATAACAACAACAAAAATCCTGACCAATTGTTTTTCATACTGAACCTAGCAAGGACAATTTTGGAATTCTATCATCTTAGGGATTAAAAGAAAAGGAATCCATCACACCAAATACTTCACCCCATAAGCCTCCCAATATATTAACTCAAAACAGATCATGAGCCTAAATGGAAGAGTTAAAACTATTGTACTTTTAGAAGAAAACAGGAAGTCCATCTTTATGACTTTGAAGGAGGCAGTGGTTTCCTAGATAGGACACCAAAAACATGAGCAACAAAAGACAAAGTAAATGGGACCTTATCAAAATCAAGAACTCACCGTGCTTCAAGGGGTACAACACAAAGACTGGGAGAAAATAGTTGCAAATCATATATAACAAAGGATCTGTATCCAGACTATATAAATAACTCTTATAAATCAACAAGAAAAAGACCATCTAATTAAAACCTGTGAAAGATCTTGAATATACAAGATATATTTGGCCAATAAGAAAATGAAAGCATGCCCGACATTATTCGTCATTAGGGAAATAAAACTCAAAGCCACGAGGAGACACCCCTGCATCCCCACTACCATGGCTAAAAGGAAGACGGAAGATGCTAAGTGATGCCAAGGGTATATACAGAGGTTGTAATCCTCATACAGTGCTGCACACAATGGCACAGCCACCTTGGACCAGACTGCTGTCTTCTCAAACTGTTAAATACAGAGTTACCATGCAGCCCTTTCCCCGCTAAGTGTACATATATACCCAAGAGATATGAAAAGAAATGGCCACACAAAAGCCTTACAGGAGTGTCCACAGCAGCATCCTACATAATAGTCAAAAAACTCAATTATCCATCAATCGATGAATAAAATGTGGCCTTTCCGTACAATGAAATATGAATTTGTGTGGAACAAACTAAAACTTATAAAGAATGGCATGTGTGCGGGTCATATACAGATTGGTGGACCTCTGAGACCACAGCCCTTAGACACCTTTCAGGTGTCTTACTGAACTTACTACTTCAGGCTCAATTTTCAGCCCAACAATAGCCGGGTCTGTTGGGGTAACAACACAAGAGAAGTATGCACGCCTTAGCACAAGCAGCCATTTGAGATGAAAAGGGCAGTGTTTACCCAAGCACAAAGTTCAAAAGGACTAGGAAAGAAGGCAGAAGGAAACAGGACACTCAGGGAGGACGTGGAATACGGGATGTTACATTGAGAACGTTGCAATCTATGAGACGAAGCAACACCTGTGTGAATTGCCCAATGTCAAAGGGATGGCCTGCTCTGCAAACTTTCACCCACCACACAATTGTGTTTAACAAACGACTATCACTCCATTATAGAAAGTCATCGAATACTGACACATGCTATGAGATAGATGAACCTCAAAAACATTATGCTAAGCAAAAGAAATCAGTCACAAAAAGGCCACATCGTTTATGGTTCCACTTATATGCAGTGTCTACAATAGGGAAATTAATAGAAGCAGACAGTATGTGACTGGTTGCTTAGGCCTGGAGGAAGGCATCAAGGGGGGTGGG